AGTTTGCTTGATGTTGTTTTGATAGTTTACAGATCGAAGGTTCCACTGTTTCCTTTCTCCATTTACAGCAGAGAGGCTCCATATGACCCTGAGACTCAGAGGATGCTCCTCATCCTCTACATTAGGAACCTCCAAACATTCACACATGTCTGCTGGTGGGTTTAGACAACGCCAAACTGAGCCAGGTCGCTCAGCTCCATGTCACCAAAGGCCTCCCAGGGACAGACCACTGCAGAGTCTGCAAGGTAAGAAAAAGAAAAGCCAAGCATAAGATTTAAACATGAAACAGCTTCACAATAAACATAATAATCACACTCACCTCCTGGCTCCTCCATCCCTGGGACATCGATGTCAAAGCTATTGGAAAAGCAGATGGAAAGTATTCAAAGAAAGTACAAGAAACTGATGTATACGTGTAAATAATCACTCAACTCACTCCTTCTGTCCGGGTTTGGGAGCTTTGCTCTTAAACTGCCGAGATCCCTTCTGCTTGAACTCAGGAGGAGCAGGCTTGGAGCCCTCCGCTGGCTCGGCTGCTGTTGCATTCATCTTTAAAAAGTTCAAACACGAAAATAGTTTTATCTCGTGAATCAGGATCAGCACGCAGCACCCAGGGATCAAAACGTGCCATCAAGTAAAACCTGTTTCAATTTTCAAAGGTGAGACTGAGCACATTTAGCTCCTGATCAGGCCTCATCGCTCCCTCATACTTACGTAAATGGCAGAGTAAATACAGAGAATTGTTTTCCACCCTCACATCAGTCATTTAAGTCACGAGGAACCGTCTGGACCTACTGGCAGTGACCAGCTTGGACGACTGAGCACTTTCCAGCCTACTGATATCTCCAAATCAAACTCCATAGCAGGTCCCTCCACCGTTCAGCAAATCTGCTCCAGCCACAGCATGTCAGTATCAGCAACGCTGCTGCACTGCCTTCCAGATATTTATACAACGATGTGTAGAGCACAACTTGACTATCATTCACTGTTCTTTAAGTCGTTGCATGAAGTCTTGTGTTCTGAGTTTTTAACACTTTCAAGAGTTATTTTACATCAACGTGAGGATTTATGAGTGTAATCTGTATCTGAAGTTACATTTTCACACATCTAAAAGAATAAACGCCCACTCTTCTACACACAGTTAAACCAGGAAAAGCTTTGTTAAAAAGTACTTTCATAGAAAGGTTTTTGCTACAGTGCGTGCTCATGTTTGCTGCCAGCTCTTACCCTGCTTCAGAAGAAGAAAGAAGTGCGGTCTCAGTCATGCAGCCACTCTCCTCACAGCATTTATATACTGGCTGTGGTCATAACAAAGCTGTAAATAGAGCTGCGATGGTTGTTTTGAAGGATAATCTTATAATCCTGAGCC